GGGGGCGTTAGAGAGGAGGCTTGCCTTTTCTTGCTTGAGGGCGTTTTGCCGATGCGCGGCACCCGATGCTATCTGCGGACACGCGCCAATGGAGGGGAGTTAGGGCGCCACGCTCGGGTGCTTTTCCCGCCCACCCGCCCCATACGCTTGGCCCTCCTTCTGGCGGTGGATGGGCGCACGAGCATCAGTGGCTTGGCGTTGCCCATGCTGCTGCGTCCCTTAACTTAAGGCACGCAAGCTTGGCGAAGACACCGCCGCCGGTCCGTAAGCACAGGGCCCGCATGCTGCGGGCGGCGTCCAAATCTAATGTGCACTATACCCTATAATCCGATGGCTCCGTTGAGCGTGGAGCGAAGTCTGGCTGTGCCGTCCTTTCGTTTGGGGCCAGACAGGCACCCGTGAGGTGGGGTGGGGGGCGGCTCGCTGGCGCGCGGCCACGGGGCGGAGTGCCTGGCCATGGAAATGGGCCTCAACGAGCCCCTGCTGCACCTACCGCCTGCATCCGGCAGGCGAGGGGCGACTGTGTTTACGGACCCGCTGCCACCCTTTAGTACATTTTAAACTGGTCCCGAACAGAGCGACGGATGGCATGCTTTGCTGCATGGGGAGCTCCACCATCAGCCTGATTCGTTGATGTGTGTGCCTGCCTGTTGATTTTTTTTTGACACGCTGGCGTCTCCCACCGCGAGGTTGGGTGAGGGGTTTGCGAAAGAAGTGCTGGGGACGTGTCGGGATGTGCCGGGAGGAGGTCTCGGGTGCCATCGCCTCCGCCAGACGCTAAACAGCGCAACGTGTAGAGGAAGAAGAGCCCACTCACTATCCGACCCAGCGCCAGCGTTTCGCCTGAGGGTTAGGAAACTCCAAAAACGGTTCCGCAGTGGCTTGCGGAAAAAACGATTCTGGTGCAACGTTCCGGAGGCACATCGCGTCACTTCGGTTGGCTGCGGCTTTTCCTAGCGGCAGGTGAACCCGCGATGTCGGTGGTTTCTGCCACCGCTCACTCCAACGTAAGGGGCCAGCGTTCCCGGAGCCCCCTCTCCTCAACAGGCTATTCCCCCAGAAGTACTAGCGGATCGGACGCTGTTTTGCCAGTCCGCGATAAGGTATATAAGACGGGCGATCGCCGGCCCACGAACACTTGCTAAACAGCCATGGCGTCAGCGAGGCGCGGGCTCTGCGAGCGACTAAATGGGCACCGGCGGCCCCGTGTGGTTTAAAGGCGATAGCGCGCCAAAAATGTCGTGTTACGACGACTGATAGGCAATCATTTTGAGTTCGTATAGCGGCGCAGCATCTAGCACGGCGAACCCGGACGCCGCGGGAGGTTTTGGAGGCGGGGCAGCATCGCGTCACAAATCCCAGGCGCCTCCAACAACGCCCCGGGGCCCGTTGCGATGGCGTATCGCCCAGCGCGCTTTTGCCCTTCGTTGTCTGACTTGGGGCGGGAGTTGTTGAATACAATGCCACTTCAACCGCAACAACTGCTTACTGCATCTTCCCGCAGCTCAAGATGAACCCGTACGGCGGGGTTATCTGGAACTAAACTCAGACTGCTCCAGCGTATATACCGCCGGAACACGCGCCCAACTGTACAGCTGATCTCCCATGCCTCTTTGGAAAGTTCATACGGACTGCCCTTTGCCTGGTATTCCGACCACACTGCTACCGAAAGGGATTCCACATTTCTGTGTTACTGCCGACGCGGAGCGTCTCGAATGGCCCTATTCCACGAGGGTGTGTCGTGCCGGATGGGTGGTGCGACGCGTAAAGGCGGTACATGCTACTAAAGAGTCGGCTGTCTGAGGCGGCGGAAGTTGACTACATGATTCAGGAGCGGAGATATCTCAAAGACCACAACAAAGCTCCACCACTACAGAGGAACCTCATAGAGGATGAGGGAAGCACTACGAGGTTGGCAGTTCACCCAGCAACAGCCCCATCGCCACAGGAAGCGAAACAAGCACCTTACGACGCAAAAACGAGGGAACCGCGAACGAACACATCACTCACACACCGTCAACAAGGCACATGCTTACCGCGAGGTGCTCCACAAAAATGTGGCCACAGCGCTCGACCCCGTGCTGAACCAAACTTATCCCGCCGACGGCGCCCACTCCCACCTTCGTACGGCTTGTGGCGCACGCTGCAAGTTTCGTTCCGGATTGTCTATTCACATCCAAAGACAACACCCCGAAAAACAAAGTAACGATAATCGCCAAAACGGCGCAGAGAGCAGCACGCCAATGTTTTCTCGTCGGGGTACGGCGGCTACAGTGCACCCCAACCAATGTTACAGGGCCAATGCCGAACGCATATGCAGGCGGGTTCCCAACAAGGACAGCTCCAAGCACCAAAGCACACTGTGGTTTGGACACAGCGCGGGTGACTAGGCACGGGGGCGCATGTTCTTCTGCTGTGCGTTTCCTTGCGGCCCGGCAGGCCAAATTTGGCTATGGGGGGGGGGGGGTGATTGGAGCTGCCGGGCGTTATTTTGTGGCGCGTTCGGCCTCCGCGGCCGCTGATTAGCCCACAGCCTGAAGCGACGTGGGCGGTGGCGCCGGTAAGTTGGAGGAGGGGGCGCCTTTAGTTTGTTGCGTTAATAGTTTGTCTTAGCTTGCCGCTTTCGGGTTTGAAGCATCCAAAACCGAAACTGAAGCAAAACGTGTCCCAGAAGGCGCCTGCTGCGATTAACCCACCCCCCATTACCCTCGGGCGAGGAAAACCGATTTGACAGGAGCGCTTGGGGTGAGCTTCTGCGGCCTCGCATGAGGAGTGGGGGTGCCGTTGGCCCCCTCAGAGGGGAGGTGGAGCTACGCGCGCGGAGGCGACACGCTTGCTGTTGAAGAATGGAACCAGAAGCGCCCCTTCCAGTTGGAAAACGGAGAACGGGCAACCCTAGGCAGAGGCGAAGGCTCGCCCCGGGGAAACGGGCGCGCAGAACAAAGGCAACAATGTAGCTTAATTGTCAAAAAGAAAAAAGGCAGCATGACCAACAAGCCCTTCGCGGAGGCCACCCCTGGATGCGACATCGCTTCCTGCGCGGGGGCGGAGGGGAGAGGCCCTGCGCCGATTTTGCCCCGCCCCCACCCGGGGCGAGGCCACGCGCACGCCTACTGCGGGAATTTCGAAAGGCGGCCCGCAGGAAGGAACCGAGATGGGGGCGGCGCTTGCGGCCCGCCACCAGAGGAGTGGTGGTGCCCCGCGCCTAGTGCCGCCACCGCCCGGCGCCCGTCGAAGAGCTCGGTGGTCTCGTGTAGCCGCTG